GGAGTGGTTCGTCGGGGCTCTATTGCTACCTGGGAAATCTATCGGAAATGTTAGTCACTACGTCACCGTCGCTATACGAAACATTGGGACGGTGTTCACTAAGGTAATGGAAATGCAGGCTTCTTCTAAAGGCCTCCCTAAAACCACGGATTTAGCAGAGGCGATTGGATTGGACGACCCTCAGGTGCTGATTCCCGACAGCATGACGAAGGCGTGGGGATACGCCAGATTTGAGTCTGGCTTCCAGTTTCTTTACACTCTGCTGTATATAACTTGGGCAAAGTCCAAGCGCGAGACCGCGAAAGTCATGAAGACAAGAAGTTGTTTAAAATATGAGTACAGTAGGGATAATGCCGTCACAGAGCTAGATGAGATGGAACTGAAAGTTTTCGAGAGTGCTTGGAAACCTGTTGCTCATTTCTATAAGACATCCATGGTGTTAGTGAACGGCCCGCAGCCACCTGGCGGCGTTGATTGTGGGTATTATGTGCAAACGCATGTTGCGAAGAGCCTAAAGGACGGATACTTGAATGGTGTTGCTGACAAGGCGGCGCGCGTTGTTCAAAGAAGTAATGATACAAGACGAAAGAAGAATAAGGGAATGCATCTTGTTTCCTCTCGCCAAAGATGGCTGTTTACCCACGATGACGTCTCCGAGACCTTTACAAAGATTACCAATTGGGTCATGGAAAATGTGAAGAGCACAACTGTAGATAATTGTAGTGGCGAAAGTAGTGACACACTCTATGTGAAGAGGTGAACTTTGTCCATTGCGTAGTCTGCCACAACTAAAATCCATTTCGTTCCTTTGTTGATTTCTGCAAACGTAAAGTTTCGCCTTTGAACTGGTTTGCGTTACAACGTATCCTTGGAATATTTATCGAGTACAAGTGGTTCTTAGAAAATTCTTTCTGTGCAATATACCATTTTATTTATTTTCTAGCGCATATAGTCCAGAATAGTTTTCCGAGGTGCGCTCTCCGCACATTTACCATATGCACCCTTTTCCATACCGAGGCATGGTATGTCGTGTTTCTCTGATGTTGTTCATTTCTGAAAAGGAGGCCATTTTTGGGTATCTTGTACCCTGATTCAAGACGTGAAATAGGTTTTTGGGCGTGTTTGCTTCAAGACCAGCTGTTTCGATGCAAAATGGTCTCGTTTTTACTAACAATGCTATGTCACGCCCCTCCCTCTGCTTCATTTCGGGTGCGTGACTGCATTTCTTCAGAGGCCTTGGCACCGGTGCCGGCCTGCATGGGCGCTTCTGGTAGGCTTGCATGAAGGGTTCTTGGAGGGGGGCCGCTCTCTCGAATTGGAGTGCGCATGCCATTCACGGGCCCCAGGGGCCGTTCTTGAAAACACCGGAAACAGGGTCATGGGAGCCGCTGGATCGTCTTGGCTCACTGCAAAACCATCTATTTCCGTTATATTTTACCCGCTGGACAGTGTTTGCATTCGGTATGACAAGGGCCGAATGGCAGTTGGATCCGGCGGCATCTATTTCCCTAGTAGAAGTTTCTCCTCTTCCAGTATCAGAAGACGTATCGCATTGGGAAAATTAATGCATCACAAAGTAAACCAAAATACTGTATCTCAATGCCCTTCATTCTTTCCTTTATCAAGAATTGATTACACTCATCTTACGAAGCAAGAGGCTTGGGGTTGAAGGAACGTTCAAGCTGTTCTGTGCCCAGAGCTATGGTTCCCATAGATCTAAAAATTCATTAACGAGACACAGACGAAGGTCCGCCATGCACAAACACGACACTTCAAAAATTCAAACCGCTCTCTCTTTCTCAGGCCTTGGAGAAACTATATCTTCCGTACTGTTCTCGCCACAAAATATGCCTTTTGGGCACCCTATGAAAGAGAGCTCCAAAAGACAAATATTACGAAGAGTTCGTACCTTGTTCAATACATATGACAAGCATGCTCGAAGCAGTTTACTTGTCTGCTGTTTTATGACGTTTTCAAAACCTGCGCCTTCAAGCTAGTACTTCTTCGTCACTGTTCTGTATGCTTTTTTATTTCACCTCACATTGTAGACCCTTACTCATTGTATAACGGTCCAAGGGATCATGATGGTGGTAGTATTATAGGAGTGAGTGACAGTTGGTCACCAAAGCGAGCGCAGTTGGTCAGATGACTCCCTAAGATTTACATGCATTTTTAGTCAGCATTCTCCTTGTACAGGAGAGGGCCTTTCGTTTAGTATACGCCGGGAAGTGTATTTAATAAGCCTACGGCAAGCTCAAAGTAAAGGGTTACCATTCTCACGAATACATCGACTCCCCCAAGGTTTACAACATGCAACCATGATACGATAATTCATTTTTAAAGAAGGACATAGTAAATGGGAAAATCTCCCCTGACTAAAAACCTTCTTCCGTAGTGCCCGATGCATGTCATCTAAAATCAAATGTCACCCTTTTCTGCGGGCATCGTCTTTTACCCGGAAATCAGCATACGTTTTAGTTTCAGAATATTAGTTTTGCGCACAAATCCGCTCTATGCTTTAGTGGAACTTGCTATTTATACAAGTCAGTCAAACATTTTCATAATTGCAGAGCCTTCATATATGGAGCACGTGTACTTGATGAGACCAAGGGGCAGATCAAACCGGCCCGGGCAATACAGTATTACCAGAAACCACAAAATGCCGATACTTTTCCTCATAGCTTGTAACAGTTTAACGCTTAAGGCTGACTAAAAGCCTGAAATGACTGGAATTCACGACTGCTTGAAGACGCTTCCGATATCTTGACTGTCAGTGATGTTGAAAGGCTGAGTGGTAGTAAACGAAGTAAAGTTCTTCCAAAGTAGCATAGCTACTGTACCTACAGTACACAAAAAGAGACCGCTCAAGGACTCCAATGCAATCAAATGTGTTTCTCAAGGCTGTTGGAGAAAACCCTTATCGGTAAAAGGGCCTCTGCTTTCTTGTTTTCATCACAAGAAACATAGAGCGCCATTTTCAAGAGCGAGAGAAACTGAAAATTGCTTTAAAGGGTCTCGAACTTGTGCAATCAGGATGTCGAGTTCCTACATCTGCGTATTGGTTACAACCCTGGCCTTCTTGGGTTTTGCGATTGTTTCTTTCTATACACGTACGGATGTTTTTCGCGATGTGCGTGAGGTGTGTCTCGCTACCCACTGCGAAAAGGCGAAAAATATAAACTGAGAACTGGTCAGAATGTACAGTACAGTCAACCACACCGAGTAGTGCACCCCCATGCAAGGTTCCAACAACATGCAATACTCGCATCTTGCACTAATGAATGGGGTCACACAAAATACTCGTTTACAAGCGTCTGGCGCCTCTCGGAACGACTCTGCTCAGCGTGTGCAGTTAGCAACTCGCGCTTTGCACGGTGCAAATGACAAACTGCATCCTCGATACCCGAATTGTTCACCATTTCCTCCACTCCCGTAAAGCAGGCAGTTACTTCCTCAAAACCTGGAATAACACACTCATTTGATTCTATCCCTTTGGTTCCATCTGCACTCGTCTTTCATGCTGTGTTGTGGTTGTGTCGGTGCCCTTGCGTGTCACTGGAGTAAGACGGAGAGGATCTGTGGGGTCTGTTGGAAAGGATGATCCGTTCACTGTTGGGCATCTTCGCGGCCGCGTCCCCGTCTACGACAGGTGTCTAACAGCAATGAAAGGTATGACAACCTGTGTTCACCGAAAAACCCCTGCATTACTCACTCGTGGAATTACTCAATTCGGCACTATTGGGCGAGTCCTCTCTGTATGCCCACTTTTTGCCCGTACAGGCAAGACTGCATGAAAAAGAGAGTCAAAAAGCATGAAAATGGTCTATCCTAAACAGCACTTCAGATTACAAGGCAACAACTGTGCAATACATTCAGTTACTGACAACAAGACTCCATCACACATTCTTGACATGTTTTGCTTTCTGCTTGTTGTCCTGAAAGGGTAATTTGTAGGGATCGACAACCGTGGTGGTTATGTATTGTAGGAAAATTACATTGGAAGTTCTCGTTGGTCAAGGAGAGTCACAATTAATGTTCGATGTCTTCGGAACTTCTGTCACCTTTTCAGAAAATCCTGTCATCGATGCTTCCGGTGAACCATGTATGAGAATATACACCTTGGAAGTTTGAGAGAGGTCAGCCCCATCTTGCCATGGAGTCATCTACGAGTACTGGAGAGTATCTTCAGAGCTCCTCCTCCTAAATATCTCGCGCTTCGAAACAGTATGATGCGGTGTTTTATTAGTTCATTGCCCACTAGAAAATCTCATTTATTTAGCTTTTTGTTTTTCATATGCTTCGCTGGAGCATGGCGAGGCGTTTGCCCCCTCCCAATACTCTATGGCCCCAGAGCATTGTAGCTTGTTGACGATTGACAGCTCGCCGCAGCTGCTATCATTCGGGAGCATGTCATGAGATGAGCATAACAAACAGTCCGAAGATGACAGCGAAGATGACAGCTATGAAGAGACAGACGGTGGCTTGATTTCTCTCCTATGCAGAGATCATTTCATACGGTAGTAGCTGCCGACGGAATCAATTGGCAGCCATTAATTTTGGTATGAAAATTGTCACAACCCAAAAGCATTCGTCCCTTACTTGGACCCTTGGCCTTGCATCCAATTGCGACCCACACAGCTCTTGCTCCCCCCGCTCCCCACCCTAAAACGTTTCTCGTGAGCAGATGCTCGCACGAACTTCTCATAGGGTTTAGTCACACCGCGACAATGGCATCTTGTGGTGGGCGATTTTCAGTTGGATTTGCTTTATGCATAGAAGGCACATCTAGAGTACATCGCATTGAAACCAGATCTAGCTCAGTACGTGTAGGAGATAATCGTTCTTCTCGTCTGCATCATCTACAAAACTATCAAGTTGCAAAACCGTCGTTTTCTGTTTGTATAAATAGCTCCATCAACCCCCACACGGTTTTGTTCTCTCCATCACCTCTCAGCCATAACCTCTAGCACTTCTTCGTTCTCCAACAGCCAGCACACATCATGAACGCCTTCAAGTATGTCGTCTTCTTCGTTCTCGTCGCTTGTGCCTACGCACTCTCTGACGATGCCGCTGAAGCCCTCTCAGCCACGGACCGCATGAGATGCGGTGTTCTACGTGTCAGGAGCACATCCTCGACTATTGGATGCTCTCGCGGAAGGAATGGTAACATGCCCGGTCGCACCAGCACCATCGTTTCGACTATCACCCTCAGCGGTATTCGTCAAGTCTCCACGATTAAGACTCCATGCAACCGCCCCGCCGCCGACAGGAGGATCGTACCCAGGATCATCCGTTGCGTGAGGCTGTTGCTTCCGCGTTGCCGTTGTGTGAACGCAGACCGCAGGGCCTTTTGCATTGGTGAGCAAGTTATCATCTGCGGTGGTCGCAATGATATCGGCTTCCTCGTTCCGGTCCCGACCCCTGAGGTGAGTGCGTAGATGCTGTAGTAAGGATTCCCCAAAAGTCCAGCTGTCACCGTCTGAGAAAGCAAGACAACAAGCAGGATTTTTTGGATTATTCCTTACCGCCATGAAATAAAGCCCATCCGTTCTGGGACAGTGCATGCTCGCTCCTTTGTCCAAAGCCTTAATTTGATTTCATCGAAAGATACTTCGTGCTTTCCCTATAAATGACTTGTTGGATTACATTTCCCTTGGTTAATCCCCCGTCGTGGTGAACTCACTGCGCTCCTCGGTGCACAGTACTTTAGCCTCCCAGCCCTCATGCGTACCCCATCAATCGACTACCGTTATTACCAATATACACCTACCTTTTGTTCTTCAAACTTTTCACCGTCATTCGCGAATACGGTCTGGCTACCGTGGTGACGGTCTCGCCCTGCAGAGTGTCTTCACCGCGGGTCGTAAGAAACAGCCGGGCTACTTGCAGAGTGTCTTCACCGTCTGTATCCCTGTGTTTATTTGCACCGACATCCTGCTCTAATCTTTTATGTTTTGTTTTGTGTTTAACTGCGAAGCGGCATAATCTACATTCACTCCTTTGTTTTCTTTACTGCGTTGTTATTCTACGCCAGCATCTATATTCTTTTCTCACCTCTTCTATTCTACTGCTGTCATTTCGCCACCTACTTCAGCATGACATCTACCAATCCTCATGACGAAGACATCACAACTTTCATCGCAGTGTGGCCGTGAGATACTTCGTGAAAGGCTTTTCTGTCAGGAGGTTTGTGAGGGGGCAAATTAAGGGGATGTCCAGATTTGGCAGCAAGTAAGCTGTGATAGATTACTGAGGTCGTACCTACTGTATATGGTGCTGCTCAGTTTGGTAGTTGATATTGTGTGCAACATATGGCCAAAGAGTAAGTGACACGAAATGGAACTCTTCGGGACGCCAGCACCTAGGATCGCACGCATCTGGCTAGCAGTGCAGCGACATACTTGAGGTGGTACGAAATGGCTATAAGTACGCTGACGATCGAAACATTAAAGAGGCATCAGTGCCCACACAATTGTTTGTTATCTTTGGTATTGGTCCCTTTTCAACGTGTTGGGGTGTGCTAGTGGTCACAGTTTAAACTATCCCGCGGAACCGCTCTTGCACTCCGGTCACTATCATTTGGTGTATGCCTAGGCTGCTAAGGGAGCTTACCGGACTCGGGATCAAGATGAGTTCAGATAATGATGCTGACGCTGACGGCGTTGATTATGGTAACTCTGTTGTTTTCAACGTGGTAAGACATTCCGTCCTGAAAAGCCTCGACCCAAAGGAAATGATAAAGTTTATTTCTGCTCGTGAGGAGTATGAGCTGGAGGTTCATGAAAACAAAAAAGAAGTCCCCAGCATGACTACGGCTAGCCACAAGGTGTGTATCAAGCCACACGTGCTACGCTCAATGCATTTCATGGGTATGTTCGACACTGTTGCGTCGGGCGTAGAGTCTGTAGATCTCACATCGGCACACATCGAGGCAGCTATCAAAGAAGTCGTAATGACTGTCAGGAAGAAGGAGCCTGACTCGCGTGTCATTGAAGCTGCTCTAGTGGGCCTTCGCATGCCTATGAAAATTGAGGACCCTCGAATGAGAGTCCGGCAACTGGTTGTAGATACTTTCAACCCTTAGAAAATGTTGGGTATGCCACGTTCCGTGATGACAATCCAAAGAAGACTGTCAACCACCTTACAGAAGCTCTGTTTCCACCGAGGCTCAGGGCAATAGTGGAAAAGGACCTATAATACAGGCCAGCACTAAGAAAGGATGTGAAACAGTTTATCAAGTATGTTGAAGAGCAAGCAGAGCACGTGGACAGAATCCGAGATCTCGATATGGGTAATGGCAGAAAGAGTAAGACCGGGAAAAGAAATCCCGGATCATCTAAATATGCTCATCAAGTAACCCAGGACGGAGCTCCTGCTACGTTTAAAAGACATTCGGATAAGAAGAAAGAGGAGTGGAAACCGGTTTGTTTGCACCCGGAGTGTGCCAAGAAGAAGCTCCGCCATTTTATCAAGATTGCAAAAAATGCGAAGATCAAGCTGAGAAGGATCGTTTATTGCAGGAACATCGAGACAAGAAAAAAGCCGCCACGGTGGTTCGAGATGAGAAAGAACAGTCTCAGGAGGACAGCGCAATAATCAATGCAACGTTTGCTGGCACAGTAACACGGGACACTTGTGCAGATTTGGGATCAGATATTAATCTCCTCCCTCCTGACGTGCTCTCAGTACTCATTTCTGAACGAGCTGACGTCAATATCACAGTATTCAATGTACCGCGACAGTATGGAATGGCAGTGCAGACCTCTACTGAGGACAAGCCTATCTATGTGGAATGTGATCGATCTGTGACAACGACCACCGAACTCCATATTCGCCACGGCACGTCGCTGTCACTCAGGAATGTAACATGGCTAGTCGCTAAACAGCCTACTGCTGAACCGCTCCTTAACCGCCCCGTGTTAGAAGCACTGGGGTTGGATGCGCGTAAGGCGCTTGAGGCTGCTTGTGACCGATATCAGGGGAATGTCGATGTCAGTGAACTACTCTCCGAACCTGCTTATCGTGAGGGAACAGTGGCTTGTTTGATGTCGTCAGGAATGTACCACTCTACTATTGCGACAGAAGACAGCGCTGGATGGAACAGGAGACGAAAACTGGCTGGATCTGGGCATAGACTCGGAAGAGAAGGTTCAGCTAGCGTTTAGGCTGCTGATTGAAAACGCCAAGGCTGAGAATATGTCAACTGGTGGCTGTATAGCCTTGCAACATCTGCTTCAAGAATATAGGGATATATTCAGGTTGCGATTAGGAGATGACCCACCGGCTGATGTCAAGCCAATGACGCTCACGTTGAACCCAAGTGTGAAACCTGTCATCACCAAGCCTAGGCGCTACAGTTCTGAGCAGCGCGCCTTTATCGTCTTACGCAGCCAAGCTACATGAGTTTGGTTTTATTGCGCCGAACCCGAACGCACGCTGGGCAGCAGCGCCCTTTTTGGTTCCGAAGGAACCCCCGGCCAACTTTAGAATGACCTTTGATTATTGCCCAGTGAACCGAGCGATTGAAGATACTCCATGTCCAATGCCGCACATAGACTTTGAGTTACAGGACGTGAGAGGGAGTACTGTCTTTGCAAAAATGGATTTCACGAGTGGCTACTGGCAACTCTCGCTCCACGAAGACAGCCAGGACGCCCTCAGCTTCATGACACCGAGTGGAGTTTGGATGCCACTCAGAACAACGCAGGGAGCTAAGAAGAGTGCGCCTAATTTTCAGATCAAAGTAGAACCCTGCTTTGCGGAGCTTCGGAAAAATCTAATAGCATGGTTGGATGACTTTCTCGTCCATGCTCGGACTGAGAAGGAATTACTACAAGTGATACGCCGTTTCTTCGTCATTTGTCGCTTACGCCGCCTCAAGCTTTCTGCTCGCAAATGTGAGTTTTCAAGAGAAAGGTAAGGTGGTGCGGTCGTATGATAAGTGCTGCAGGGCTCCAGTTTGACCCTACGAGACTGAGTGGAATTCAGAAAACCACACTACCGGAAACTGCCGGAGAACTAGGTCAATACATCCATTGCCTACAGTGGATGGCTCAAGCAATACCGGACTTTGCCGCCCGTGTTGAACCTCTTCGTGCAGTCTTAGAGGAGGCATACAAGCGTTCAGGGAAGCGCACCCGCTGCTCAATCAAGACCATTCCTTTGTCGAGTTTGTCTTGGGGGCCAGAGTGTGTGACCGCTTTCTTAACCTTACAAGACCAACTCAAACAATCTGTCATGCTAGCTCACCGACAAGAAGGGCAGGCATTATGCTTGTACACTGATGCATCGGACGAGCACAGGGCAGGAGTAGTGACTCAATGCGAGCACAGAGAACTGGGTATCCCGACAGAAGAACAGTCTCACGCACCTCTAGCTTTCATTGGCTCTGCATTTGAAGGAGCCCAGCGAAACTGGAGCATATTTGAGAAGGAAGCATATGCTATTTTTCAGACCATGAAGAAGTTGGACTACTTGTTCGCATGTGACTTCACACACATCTTCACAGATCACAGGAACCTATTGTTCGTCTACAGTCCGACTACAGTAGACCCCAACCTGGGCAGGCATATAGTCTCAACGGTGCAGAGGTGGGGGCTGTAGCTGGGTCAGTTTCAGTACACTATTGAACACGTGGCGGGTGAGACAAACGTCATGGCAGACGTGATGACTCGATGGTTCAAGGGATATAGAGGAAAGCGAATGATGACTGTCAAGTACATTCAAGAAGTGCTCAGGAAGCATGACATTGCGCCGTCGCCAGCTCAGGAGGGCTTTAACTGGCCTACTTTTGAGCGGATGAAAGATTCTCAGCGAAAGTATGCCCACGCCCCATACGTAAAATGCAGAAAAAGGGATGGATTGTGTATAGTGGATGGAAATATATGGATCCCTGAACAAGATACAGGGCTGCAGATTTCTGTACTGGTTGCTGCACACTGCGGTTTGGCTAGCCATAGAGGATACGAAGCGACCATGGATAATCTAAAGCAGAAGTTTACTTGGAATGGACTGGAGGATGACTGTAAGGAGTTTGTCGCTGCTTGCATTCACTGTATCACCTCCAGGGCTGGGAACAGGATCCCTCGGCCCCTGTCTATTACGCTCCACGGAACAAGACCTAATGAAGTCTTGCACTTCGACTACCTATACTGTGGAGTAGGAACAGACGGCTGCAAATGCGTTCTTCTGCTCCGCGATGATCTTCCACGGTATATATGGTTATAGCCGTGTAAGTACGCAGATGCGGACACCACTGCCTTGGTATTGAGCAAATGGATTTCAACATTTGGTTTCATGTCATTTTGGGTCAGTGACCAGGCCAGTCATTTCAAGAATCAAGTGATCGCAAGCCTAGCAGATGAATTTGCCATCAAACACCAGTTTGTGGTTGCGTACTCACCATGGGCAAATGGCACGGTAGAAAGATGCATGAGGGAAGTTTTTCGGACGTCCAGGGCTTTGCTCTCTGAATTTAAGCTCGGACCGACCGACTGGCCTCGCATTGTTTCAGTTGTACAGATTATTCTGAACGAATCACCTCTCGTCAGCTTGGGCAAGAACAAAGACGGAAACTACAGATCTCCGTTAGAGGTCATGACAGGCCTGCGCCCCGTATCTTTGCCGCTACGGTTGCTGCCACGCCCCGCAAACGCTC